AACTAGAATGGCAGTGACCTCCGCTTGAAAGACAGTTGGGTACACCCCCATTGGAAGACAAATGCCAGTGCCTCCATTCATCCAATGCACACCTGCTCCAGTGCCCCCATTTTTGATCTTAGAAACATCAGTATAGCATTCTAAATCACCTGTGGGTATGGGTCCTTTTCCGCCAGACCAATCCTTCCTATCTGGTATTAGTACTTTGAAAGGCTTTCCAAAGGAGTATTTTTTGGACATGTGATCTGAAGGCAAGTGCAATTCATCATTATGTACCACCTGAACAATTTTGGAGTGCCCTTTATTGTTTCCTGAGGTTATCCATAAGTATTCGCATCTAAGGCGTTGGGCTGTTTTACTTGCTACCACCTTGATGTAAATGTCGATAGGTAGCATATCAAGCAGACAGTCAAGAGCCGCTCCAGGACAGCTGCTTACTGCCCCAGTTATCATTATAAGAGCAAGCCTCTGAACTCCTGCTAAAGCTTTGACAGCTATAGTAGATTCCATCTTTGGCCACCACACAAGCGAACCATATGTAAGGGCGGGTCGAACAACAGATACATACAGCCAGTGCATAAAAGTTTAGGCTGTAACCCCCATGTGCCACTTACCATCCGCCTGCATGCCATAAGGGACCATTTGCCACGCTCAGTGACTTTTTGAAGATGTGGTCCCCAGTGAAGTGATCTGTCCAAAATTACACAAAGATACTTCACCTGATTCTGCAGCTCTATTACAGTGCCCTGCAGTCTTAGTGGGCCGATCCCATCCAGTTTCCTCCTTCTTGTGAAGGGTACTATTACAACTTTCCTGGGATTTATAGAGAGCCCATCTTCCTGGTACCAACGGTCCACTACCCTTAAAGCTCTATTCATAAGGTCAGTTATGGTTCCGTGGAACTTTCCAACCACAAGGATTGCAACATCATCAGCATAACCTAAGGCGAAAACCCCACTTTTGTTGAGTGTCCTTATAAGGTCGTCTGCTACCAAATTCCAAAGGAGAGGAGAGAGAACCCCCCCCCCTGAGGGCATCCTCGAGTAGTTCTTGCCTCGATCGTGTCATTATGGAGTGAGAGCCTAACCTTCCTACTGTGAAGCAAGGATTCAATCCATCTACATATTATACCGTGAAAACCTCTTCCTCTCACCGCATTAAGAATTGCTGGAGTACCAGTATTATCAAAAGCACCTTGAATATCGAGAAAGGCACCCAGGGCCACTTCACTGCTCTCTAGAGCTTTCTCAATCTTGCTTACAAGTTGGTGCAACACAGTCTCGCATGATCTTCCTGAGACATACGCATGCTGATTATTATGAAAAGGATGTGTCCTAAGAGCTGTATCCATCATATATCTTGAGACCAACTTTTCTAGGATCTTAAGGAAGAAAGAAGATAGAGAAATGGGTCTAAATGACTTAGGATCAGTGTAACTATCCCTTCCTGGTTTAGGAATAAATGCGATACGTGAATTACACCACCCTAAGGGAATGTGTCCTAAGGCTAAGCTGGCTCTGAAAAGTTTTCGGGATAAGTTAATAATCCCACGTATGGAAACACTGCTAGTACCGGGATGCGCGGAAGGATAGGCCTACATTCATCGTTTCAATTTCAATACGATACTGAATACAATTCCTCATTGAATTTATAAAAAGAGAAAAGAATTTATTTATAAAAATAAATACATCTGCCTTAAAAAATAAGGTTGCCAATGACACAGAAAAAATTATACAAGATAAAATTGTATAAGACTGATTAATTTTGATGTTTGCCATATAGATGATTTCTCATTATGCTCAATGAACCTCTTAATGTTTCATGAGTAATAATTTTCAAAAAGGATCTGTCCAAATCATATTGTTTCCAAAAGTTCACAAAAAATTTTGATAATGTTCCTCTTGAACCAATAAACAATCCAATCACCTCAACTTTCCAAATTTTAAAATTTTGCTTGAAATATTCAAAGGTAGGATCATATTTTTTTTTCTTTTCTTCATTTACTTCGTTAGGTTGATTTATGTTTATTTCAAATCGAATTGTTGAATCGAGAATTATGCCTTTGTTAGTTTCTCTTTCTATCAATAAAATATTTACTCTTCTGGTGCTTCCTTTAGAAGAAAGACAGTGTACTTCTTCTTGCACTTCTCATGTGTTATACCTTTTTCGGAAGGCATTTGCTATGATACTTCTTATTTTGTGATGCCTAGTGATTCTTAGAAGTTCACCAAACGGACAGAAGCCAAGGGCATGTGCAAGGGTTTCAATCTCACCCAGCGAGCACAGAATAAAAATAGAGAGGACATCCGTGCGCGGCGGTGAAGCCAAATTTTCCGCGGGTTTGACCGAATCCGGAGTGGGGGGAGCGATGAGTCACCCTAGTACCGAGCGTCTTGAGCGCTGTCACGAGGCTCCGCTAGACAACATTTAGTCGGTTGTTGACATTGCATTCAGCAGAGCTGTAGTGTTTAATCAGTTGAAAATGGTAAATATCACTGAAGTAATCATTTCAAAGGTTTTAAGCCGTTGCATCGGCCTACCCATATTCATATCAGATCATTACAACGATCAAGAATTTGAACAAAACCATCTGATCTTACTGCTGAAATCAATTTGCAGGAAGTATGTGAACATCAGACTTCATCATTACAGTAAAATATTCAATGATAAAGTTCATTCCTCCCGAGTCAGGCACCACCTAACCAAAGTTGTGACATTTCTAGGCCAATAAGGGTAGAATTGTAAAACCACCAACACTCAATATATGAACTTTTGAAATTGAACTATATTTACTTGTGAAATACAAGCTTAGAACTAAAGCCTGTTTATTTCTCCACACAATAAATCATCTACAATCATTACCTGAAGAGAAAAAGTGCCAGTAAGTACAAAAATATTTATGTAGGTTAATTAGATAAGTGTTTCATTACTCGATTCTTAGGGCAGCAGTGAGTGACGAGACACGGTCGCAGTGACAGCGTGCACTGCCCGAGTCGTGCCGCCGCGCGCCGTAGGACGGATTTTACTGCCTCTTCAACCTAATTTATTTCCTTTACCAGCCATCACAGAATTCTCAGAAAAATATATGTTAAGGTTCAACTAATGCTCTCAAACTTTGCCGCAGACGAAACTTTCCTGACCAAAAAATAAAAAACTTCCTCGATTACTAATAATTTCATGTTTTCACAAAAGAATTAATAATTTCTTTTAGTTTTATCAATTAATAAAAACAAAATAGGATATATATAATATTTTAAAGCTTACTATCATTGAGCAGTACTAATAAATTTTCCCTGTTCCAAGTTTGGTAATTTTAGGACTACTGTAAGTGCGTCTAATCATCGAGTATCATAAAAAGGGTTTTTGACGCTGTTTTACTCGGTCACGGCGAGTTGACCGAATCCGGAGCGGGGGAACTTGGCGTCACTGCCTATAATGTTATTTAAATACGCATGGCCCCTCTATTTTTATTCTGTGCTCGCTGATCTCACCACAGGCATGCCTGCAGCGGTTATTGCCCTGACTTCTGCTGTGGAGAACACGCACTGGCACCACATTTGCAATCATTTTTATACTGTCTTTCCACTCAGATTCTGACAAGCCTTCTTTATTAATAATACTTTTATTTCCCGGAGTATAGTCTTTGAAAAGTTCAACACCTTTACCCTTTCAATACTGATTCAACCTTTAATAAACTAAAAAAAACTGCACTTGTAGGAGTTTATAAAAAAAATTTTATCCTGTTAGTTGAAACATTTAATAGTTTAGTTTGGTATTACTTTTTGTCTCCGGTACAAGCATGGTAGTTATTTTTCCTATATCACATGTTTCTTCCGATATAAGCCGATGATATCGCAAGCAAAATATCGATATATATATCAGTATCAGAAGCACCGTATCGTCTATCTGCTAGTGTCAAGTCAAGGCCAAGTAGAACATAAAGTGTGAGGTTAAGTTAGTTGGTACTCTTTAATTTTCCAGATTCCAGATGTTTAATTCTTTTCTTATTGGTTTTATGAGTAAACTATTTAGGCCTACATTTTTTCTAATAATTCTCGATTCTGACTATTCGATATTTTGACTGATATTATACTTGACTGATATTAGACTGATATTATACTTTTTCCTGGAAAAAGTATAATATCAGTCTGGAAAACCTGGAAAAGTCAGGGAATTTCATTTTCCAAAATCAGTACCAACCCTGAATTAAGCGATTAATTGATGGGTAAAAAAAATCCTTAAATGTAAGATGGAATTTCGCAAGCCAGCATGATCTGACCATGGGAACGGGGTTTTACAGGGTAAAAATTGGTTTTTCTAATTTTTGACCCTCTAAACACAAAATTTCCCAATTTCTCTGCAGACCTTTTTGAAGAGCTTAAAAAACAAATAATTTAGTACATGAAAAAGCTTTAGTACAATTATTAGTTACAGAGAAAATTGTTATTTTAAAATTCCCATGTTATTCTTATGGAGAATATTGTAAAATGTTTTAGTTTGCTTGTTTATGAATATATTTTGATCAAACTTGGTAAATTTATTTATTGTTATACCAAGTTATAAATATTTTACTAAAAAACACACTTTTTTACCCTCCCTGTAGCAGCAAGCCTATGTAATCATAAAACCTAATGTTAATTAAATACATTTAATTGAAAATCAATTCAGGCAACTGGAAATTTGCTTAGTCGGCATGTTTTCTGCAGCGGGGGTATTTATTTTTATTTTTTGTGTTATCCGACTGTTTTGCTTATCCAGTCTTGCCACTGGTAGCTTAGGTTAAATAAATGAGACAACTGTGTATATCAAATCATTACAATTTCATTTTTGAGATGATGCCTTAACAATAACTATTGTAGAGGTTAAATACCTTGTTCCCATCATCCTTTGTTGTCGGAGTGGTGACAAGGATTACGTTGGCAACAATATATTTTACCTCAACAATAGTATTATAATAATTTCTATAAACTCCAACAAACCCCACTCTTACGGTTGTTCAGGCCTGTGCGTACCTCCACGCTGTTCCGTCAAGAGGTGTTAGTAAAGATGTTGAAGCAAAGTCCTGCAGCTAACACCTTGCAGTCCTCCCCCCATGTAGGCATCTGGCGCAGTGAACTCATTGTTCAACTTTGTCTCGACTTTTGGCTGAGCATGCCAAATGCCTCCAGTCAGGTAAGGAACAATATATGATAACACTAATATTATATATAAAACAGCCTATTATTGGTACAGTGTAGGAGCGTCAAATGAGGAAAACCACAAATGATGCAATACCAGTTTTGTAGCCATAAATTTGACAGTGTAAGAACGTTCACTATTATCTGAGAAGTGACTTGGAGGTGCTCAGAATTCACCACAATTGCAGATGTTTGCTGCAATTGTGGAAAAGGATGATATCTCCACATCCACAGGGTTTAGAAAAATATAAAGATTTTGCCGCAACCACAAAATATATTTATCACTTTACGTTATCACAGGTTACCAACTTATTTGAACGTTGCTTAAAATTATTAAAATACATTCAGCCATTGTTAAATTATGACCCAGAAAGAAACATGAGTCACTTATTAATACGGTTGATGCAATGTTTGCTTAAGCCTTTAACCGACAAAATAGTTGAATCCTCAGGGTGTCTACCAACCGGGAAATCCGGGAAAACCGGGAATTGTACTTAAATTTTTACTGGCCATGAAATGTACGGGAATTGTCCTTAAATGCCAGACAATGTCCTTAAATTTTTAATGGGCCATAATTTTATTGATCGCTAGTTGGTTAGGAGCACATAAAAGGTTTATCAGATGTTTGTTTACATTTTCATAATTTATTACTAGAGTAATTATGCAATAAAAATCCCATTAACAATCTCAAACCCATTAATATTTTATCACGACAATCAAGTGTCAAGTCAAGTACTTCCAAGAACTGTTGACTCAGCAGCTAGCTCATAAAAGTTATATCACTTTTATTCCTTTACAACTTCTTTTTTTATTACTAGGGTAATTATTATTAGATCCCAAACCGATTTTATCGTGAAAATAATAGCTTTATAATGGCTGTTAAATTTCACTTCTTACTTGTACTTTCAGCTTGAAGATTCAATTTACCGCGGCCAGTGCCTACTGCCATAAAACTGTTTATGGTTTCATATTAAACATGTAAATAATCTACAGTCTCATTTTGTAAGTTAACCCCTTTTTTATGGACATTTTATCTTTCAATTGACAAAACCACAAGCATTGTTGTTTGCATTAATGTTTTATCACTATGTAGGCCTGCTTGTTTCAAATTATTTCATTGCATTTTCTGTATCTTTGTCTTATATTGTTGGCTATTCAGGTTTCAATGTTTTTTGTTTCCCATATATTTATTTATTGAGTTGTATGCTTTAAGCAATCAAAATCTTATGAACTAGAATGATAGTAACTTTGCTGCTATTATAACCTCATTTTTTGTTACTCAGTTTATATAGGCCCTCCTAAATAATTAGGCTTAGGCCTGGGTATTTTGATTCTTGAAAGAGTTGTAAAATATATTAAGAAAATGTAATTGAGCCTAAGATAAACAACTAATGATTGCTATGTGTCGATATTAACTTTACAAATGAAAATACAATAATCTTACTCTGTGCTTATTGCTTATTAATAGCCGCTTACCATACCTTGATTTTGTACTAAGAATTGAGTAACAATATGCATTAAAGATTTTTTTTTTCAAAAGTAGTCGAGAAACTAACGTTGTGCCAGGGCGAATCATGCCAAATTAATCCGCCTGGATCGGATAAGCTATGTTATGAAGTTTACGTGACGGATGGAGATATTTGTCGCTATCGCAGGAGACAATGATTGCGTTTCTCTGTTACACTATAAAAGCTTTAGGCCTACCTAAAGTATAGGTAGGCCTATGTTTGTTTACTTTCAATAAATTTTTTTTTTGTAATTTTTAACTCTTATCTATTATTATTTACTTTTCTCTCTGGTACAACTACAGTGAATAACAAGATTAATACAGTTTGACAAATCAGGAAAATTATTCGGTAGGCCTAATGACACCGACAAAGGTTACGGCAAAGTGTCCTTAAATGTACGGGAATTGTCCATGAATTTTTTATCCAGAATGTAGTAGACACCCTGATCCTTGGATAAAAGAGAATCTGCTGCAGGTATTTGCTTTGATCTTCGAAAGACATTTGACATAGTTTCTAATGAAATTCTTCTAGATAAACTCAAAGATGTTGGTGTTAGAGGGATGGCCAACAAATCGTCGCTCCTTCATAGCTGGACGTCGTTAGACCGTAGAGTTCTCGATCGAAAAACGTGGGATAATGAGGAAATGTAGCTTTAATGTCAAATTGGTAAAGGCAAGTGTAGGCCTCCCTCAGGGTTCAATTGTAGGTCCTTTATTATTTATCTTATTCATAAATGATATTCCTAAAAGTGTGTCTGATGCTGAGATATTTTTGTTTGCTGATGACACATCATTGTTTGTAAAGGTTAAATGTCGGAAGAACATGGAGATTAAAGCATTTCTTCAGTCCCATGTTGTCATTGGTTTTTAGACAGCAATCTAATTGTAAATGCAGAAAAGACTAGTTAAATTTGAAAATTTGGGGTTTTGGTGGTCCGAGTCCGATCATTATGTCAAATTTCTAGGCATCTCTATCGATAGGAATCTGAACTATTTCTCTCATACTGATTGTGTGACTGTCAAGTTAAGATCTTCACTATTTGTATTCACAGACTTTCAAAATTTATGATAATATAAATTATAATTTATTATATATTTTGCCCTCGTATATCCACATTTGTCCTATGCCGTTAGCATTTTGGGATCAGAAAACGTCTACACCAAACAAATTTTTAGGATGCAGAAGAAAGCGATTAGAGTCATCTCAAACCAAAACAATCATGCAAGCACTTTTTTTCTGAAGCAGGTCTCCTTACTTTTACATTTTTCATACACTGCTTTTTTCTTAAGATAAACTTTGAACTTTATTAGCATCTTGTACCTAATTCAACATATAAAACAAGTTACTTTAAAAAAAACTTTTATAAAACATCTACTAATACTTTAAACATCCCTAGACTTAAAACTTTATTTTTTTTAAATCAGATGTTTTACTATTTTGTCATTTTTTTTAATGCCCTCACAAATGGTCTCAGGAGTGAAATGGACTTTTATGAATTTAAGACCCAGCTCAAAGAGTTTTTAATTTGTAATTGTTTTTATAGTGTCAAGGTTTTTATTTGTTAACAAAAACAATGTAACATGTTGATTTTGGAGACTTGATTGTGACGCTTGCCAATGCCTGTATTGAGTTTAACGGCAATAAACACCATTTCATTCAATTCCTTCATTTCATTTCATTACAGTAAAACTCCAATTATCCTAATCAAATGGAACTGTACCACATTCAGATGGTAAAATCTAAAAAAAATGGTATTTTCCACTATCTCGAGATAACAATAATAATTTCTACAAGATCGCAAAGAAGTTCAAGATTGTGTTGCGATCGAAGAAGATGTTAATGATGTTTCCTTTAGTGAGGTAGACAATGATGATGTCCACAACCCAGGAAGAAGTTCAGAAATTTGCCAAGATCACAGTTTTTGCCTTCTGTGATAATCATTCACAGTGGCGGCCCTAGAGATTGCGGAGCCCAAGGGGAAGTTCAATAGCCGGCCTCTCTTAATACCTGAAATTCGGCTGTTCCTCTGAAAAGCGGGTGGCCCAGGCCTTGTTCGCCTTTATGTAGGGCCGCTTCTGATCATTAATATTAATACTGTAGTTTTAGGTTTTTAAAATTATTCCTGTAAGCTATTTAGATAATCGGCGATTTAGATGGTTGGAGCTCAGATAGTTGGAGTTTTACTGCTTAGGATTCTTGGAGAAAGCAGCGCCGCTTCTGTCACTCTACACCACTGTGTTTATTGTTTAACAAACAATAAATGTATTAAGAATATAAAACATATGTGCAGTATTTAATTGTTTACATAACTTGAAAAAAAGGTTAGATGTATTTCCATTGAGGAAGAACCTGTACGTGTGCATAGGAGTAAATTTATTTTATTTCAGCATTTGATCAATTTGTTTGATTGTATTTACATATTAAGCTAAATGGCCATGGTTATATATATTTCTTCAGATGAAAGGTAATTTTATGTTACAGTGGGCTTACGACACCCCCAACCACTACTTGGGACCTTACAAGCCTTTAGCCTCCACAGTAAGTCATTTTGTGAATGACATTTGCTACTAATTCAAATGTCTTACCCACTTCACCTGACTAACAGTATATGGGCTTTGTTCTGTCAACCTAAAAATATTCAAGACCCATAAGCTTTCGTTTGTAGAATGTAGTACTATAAGACTATGGTATATTATATGTGTTATTAAATGTGCTCCAACAAAAATATCTAAAGGCCGCTACACACTAGGACACCCGGTTGCTTATCAACTGGCGATCTGGTTGACAAGCGACTAAGTTGATGATTGAACGATTGATGATACCTAGCACTTTTAAACAAGCAGGAAATCAATCAAAATTTGGTGGAGATAGACAATGTGTTTGGTTCGCGTTCGAGCTTAAGTGACAACACCATGCCCGCCGACAAAGAAAAGTAGCTGCCGAAGTTATGATTATATTTAATTGTGGGCAGCAGAAAAGAAGAAAGAAATTGTTGAGAAGATTTTGGGCTAAAGGGTGGCTTCAACGTAGAAATAGTTACAGCCGCATGAAACTCCTACGAACTTTGTGACTTGAAAATCCTCAGGATTTTAAGAATTATTTACGGATGTTAGATGACAGTTTCCGTCATACTTAGCAACTAGTGATGCACATGACACCTTACATAGAAAAAAGGACGCCAGATTGAGAATTTAGCATGGTTTTGTTTTGTCAGTTAATTTTTAGTTGTATTGCCCATGCCCAAGCCGTCTTTAGTTGATCAACTTAGTTGCTGAACCCTACACGCTCTAGTTTTTTGAGAAATCTCGTTGCCCGGCGATAAAAATTGGTTAATCGGAAACCAACAGGTTTTTAGTACAGCACCAAAAACCAAAATGTCGCCTGGCAACCTATAAATCGCCGTCAATCAAATTGACAGACCCCCCCCCCCCCAAACAGTGATATTTGTGCAATTTGGTCGCTCGTCAACCAGATCGCCGGTTGATAAGCGACCGGGTGTCGTAGTGTGTAGCTAAGGTGTGTAGCCTAAGGTGTATCTAGCTGTACTGACTAAAAAAGATCTACAGTTTGTTGCACAAGTGAAAAACCATCTTGCGCATGTTTACAAGTTCAAGTAAGTATGCTTAGAAACATTTCATAAACTGAACTGTGTACATTTTCCTAGGTCCTCGCCGGGGGTATAGGTATAGGTAATAGTTTTTCATCACTCCGTAGGGAAAGTAGCTATTTCCGTTAACAGCTGAAATCAAAGAAAATAATTTTTGTCAATTTTTTTATTCAGAGGAAGGGAAATTCAATCAACTGACTTTCTCTTGCTCTAAACTTACTTTCCCTTGATCTCAATCAGTTCTCTATTTACTCACCAAGAGCACTATTGTTTATTTACAGTTTATTTAAATCAGCTTTTTTTCTGTTCAACAATGTAAATGTAAACAGGAATAGACAAAAGCAAGTATTTTTTTTTTCGTGACAGTGGTCCAGAGACTGTGGAGCGAGTGGAGCAGTCTCTCCATGGCAGGAAGCTCTGGGGCGGAACTTATTGTAAACAATAAAACAAAAATAGTTGTCGCCACATATGTAATTATAAAATTTAAGATGGACTTTCTCTGATCAGCTAAATATATTTTATAAAGAAGTAATATTATACTAGGCCTGCACTATAAATGTCCGAATATAATTTGTGGATGGTTTGTAATTTGTCACCGTTGCCGTAGTCTGAAGGCGTATGGACAGCACGTGCAAAAACAATAAATACGGTGTATCGTCTGCTGGTGTTTCACTTGTCCTATGAATTACACTCATTCCTACATTTAGTGATCAGATCAGTCTTGTTTAGTGATTGGCTAGTTTTATTAGTATTGAATTGAATAAAATGTGAAATATTTTTTTTACTTATTAAGCTATGATTTGAATTAGAAATGAAATTATTTAGTGTTCTGACAACAATCGACTTAAACCATTTATAAAACAAAAACAACTTCTCAAATCATATCAATATGAAACCGATTATGAAATAATATATTCCTTTGCTTTTATTATAGGTTGTTGGTTTTTACAATTTTTGAATTATAGTTGTTCCTTGCTCAGAATTTTGTGAAACAATTGTTCTTGCGGGTTAGGTGAAGATGTTCGTCATAATTTAGCAAAAATGGCTGTTTTCAATACTACTTCAGTACTGTCATAGAGAAAAAGAATTAAATATAGACCGTCAGCCGTGCTGCTGTTACCGATTCTACTTCAAAATGGAGTATTTTGTTTTCTCCATTCTCCAATGGGCATAAAAGAATACATCCGAATTGGGTTATATACCCGAATGTCTTTCTTCTACTATTTAAGCATTAAGCAGGAGGTACATATTGTACAGCTAATTTCTAATGGATATTTATTTACCAGATTAAGGATACGATACTAAATCATATGTTGTGGTGGATTGTCAAATGTTGTTTAACCATGTTATGGTGTTTTGTGTCAATCACCTAAGTTTTTGTGGATTGGTAATTTTGTTTGCACTTGTTGTGGTGTCTTTATCTTGTTATTCAACAGTCCCCTTTTGACCAAAAAACAGGGAATCATTTGTGAATTATGATACAGTACACACTTGATTAACCGAGGTTGTTGGACCGAGTTTACCTTAGTTAAATAGCAGGGTGTCTAGTAGTCGGGAAAAAACGGAAAGTCGGGTATTAGTATTGAATTTCAAAATGGTCTTGAAAAGTCAAGATTTAGTCCTTATTTTGATATCAAAATCAGAAATTTTCACGATTTTGCCGCGATTGCGCAAGACGACGATCAAGTTTACGTGACCATGAAAGAGAATGATGATGATCTCTACAAGGCCGCAGGAAATGATCATTATTTTGCCGCGATCCTAAATGACAACAATGATATTTTCGGAATCGCGGGAGTTGACGATAACGTTTCCGTTTCCGTTACTGCGAGAGACGACGATGATGTTTCTGTGACCGCGGGAGCCAATGTTGATGTCTACACGGCCGCGGGAAGTGTTCATGATTTTGTCGCAATCGTGGACGACGATGATGACATTTCTGTGACCGCGGCAGTCAATGATGATGTCTAAACGTCCGCAGTAGATTTTATGATAAAAAACCCTAATTGGCTAGTTAGATTTTTTCATTGCTGCACTTTGTATTTACTTTAAAACCATTATCTTAATAATAAATTATAACATAAATACGGGGTGTGTGTAATACAAACAAATTATTTAGAACATTTTGTTAAACTATAAAAATTGGTATCGGTATCAAGAATTGAGAATTGATACATTTTGGTACTGACACTCACTATTTGTTGAAAAAGAACTAGTCATGAAAAATATAGAATTAGTCTTGAAAAGTCTGGAGTTAGTCGTATATTTTAAAATGGAAATAAACTAGACACCCTGGAATAGAGAATCTCAGATACGGGAGACTCTTGATAATCCAAAATTAAGGTCCAAGCAAATAAATTTGAACTATCAAGAGTTGATTTATCGGGATTAAAACAAACCATTTGAATTACAAAGAGTTAATTTTCTTAATGCTGTATTATGATGTAAGGCACGGAACATTACAATTATACCGCTTATTTTAGTAACTTTCCAACAAACAACGGCTTAACTTTTAGGCGAAGCTCTTGTACTACAGTCCTGATTTTGTTTTACGAGTTCTGCTCCTTGAATGGCTGAAGCGATCCGCATGAAATTAAGCACAGACTTAGTAACCAACTATGGGAAGGTATGAATCTTAAATGGTACAAATTGGACTACAGGGCTTTTCCCTACACAAATTTACACTTTTAGAAATGTAACATGGGCCTTATGGGTTGACTGGTTGCCATTACAGTATTTAACTCCATTACTGACATTTGGGGAAAAAACAAATAGCAAATGGAATCTTCATCGACCTAGAAAAGGCATTCGTCAGTCTGGACCGCAGGATTCTTCTGAGAAAATGACAAGAGATCAAAATTACCGACAAAGCCCTCCGCTGGATCCAAAGTTACCTGGAACACAGAGAACAACTGGTGGAAATAGAATACTTATCAAACAACTACTTAACAAAATAACGATCAAAACTAAAAAAAAAAACACCATCACCGGAATACCACAAGGATCAGTCCTTGGGTCATTATTCATTCTTATCTACCATAAACTGCCTCCCAACACTCCTCCCCCCTACTGCACATGCATCATGTTTGCCGACAACACAACCATAATTGCCCCCATGACAAAAGACGCAAATAAAATTGGAAATATAATACAATCAGGCAGTAATATAAGCCAAGATATGAATTTAATCATAAACAAAACTAAAACAGTGCACATTGAATTCAAGTTAAAAACTACCACTGGTAATGAAGAAGTCGCTAGCCCACAAACCGAAAACAGCATCTACAGAGCAAACCATACAAAATTCCTGGGAGTAAACCTTGATGCAAATTTAAACTGGCAAAAACACCTAGAAATTCTACACTCAAAACTATCATCGGCAATTTTCGCAATCAGAAGAATCAGGATCAGAATGCGGAAAATAATTACGAAGTTACCTCAATTCTCATATAAACTGTTAAAAAAAACTATTATCATATACCCAGAAATCAATGAACATAAATGTATCAATTTATATCTGTTTTACTTCCTCAATTGAAAATAATATAGGTTATTTAAACGCTTTATAATGTACAAGTAAGTATCAATAAATTTTTTTGCTGTATTTCTAATGGTATATTTTGACCTAAAGCATGATCTTAATACCCTGTTTAAACGTATTGTGGTGGTTTATCCATGTTAATGTGACTTTCTTTGTGTTGTTTACTAATGGTGTTGTGGCAGGCACAGATGTTGTGGTCGGAGGAACAACTTCCCTCTAGTGAACATCTCCACGCTGTGCGACTTCTTGTCAAACACTTGCACTACTTTGCCAACAGCTTAGTCGAGGACTCTAGTGCCATGGATGAGCTCAAGAAGTAAGTAGCCTACGACCCTTAAAAAGCTACCTTAGACATTGATTAATGATTTCATTATTGTGTTAATACAGCTGTAGTCTGTTCACAAAACTGAGGTTTGAGGAAAAGTCCCCCCCCCCCCCCCACCACCACTTTTTTTGCATTATATTTTGCAGCTGATTAACAATGAGTAAATCTTTGTTTATATTTAATCGTTTATGTTTAGAGGTGTGCGGATGGTAAAATTTCATTTCGGATCGGATTTGGATCGGATAGTTGAGGCTCAGTTCGGATCGGATCGGATATTGGGAGGTTCAGATTGGATATTTTCGGATTCGGATAGTTCGGCGCGGTTAATAATAAGCAACATATGTATTTTTAACCTATAAAACACTGTAAAGCTGTGTAAATTAACTTAAATGTTGATTTTGAACTATAGAATTTCAAATTAGCCACGTCCACAGTTTTTTCTCTCTTGAAAATCACAATTCACAACATCTATTCATTTTCAAAAGTTGGTTGCTTTATTCATTCTACACTAGCAGCCGAAATCTTCACACGACACTTTAGCTCAGCAGGTGACTGATGTCAAACGTTTGGGCTTGTTTACTTGAGGTTATGTTTTATGTTGTTTCCTGGTTCTCACAAGACAAGGAATTCTATCTCAAGTTTATTTTCACATTGTATTTCCTTACGTTTTTGGAACGGATTATTGGCCTTAAGTGGCATTCTGCGGGTTTGCCAAGTTTAGAAAACATTACTAATGCTGGGCTCTAGCTCACGATTTGATGTTGCGGCAAGTTAATTAGGGCAATTAGGCTTTATAACTCTGTAAAAGGTGTGTATCCCTGAATTTATAAATTTCATTCTACACTTATTCACTGCCAAACATAATTCAGTAGAATTGATGAACCAAGAATTACACTAGCCTACATAACTTCATTACCCCAAGTAAAATACCAAGATAATTTTTAAAATTGTATTTGAATCGTTATCTTAGTTTGTTAAAAATGGATTGTGTTCAACAATTGCAGTCCATTATTGTTATGCAGTATGGTCCCAAATTATTGTTTTTGATTTTGAAACATCACAGTTCATTTGACAAAATTAAGTTGAATCAGCCCTAGGTAAAAGTCTTGCTTGTGCAATAGTTTTTTTACAAGCTTTCTCCAGACCACTGGGGAGGGTCGGGTCTGATAAGCCGTCTATTGTCCACCCCCACGGTGGTTCAACCCTCATTAGTGCCGCTCGGCTGCACTCAGTGGGGAACCCAATACCATAAATCAATCTTTTAAACAAACAAAAATATTTGGTAATAATTAATTGTTTTATTGATATTCACCTTGAAATTTCAATAAATTTGGTGTAAAATTTGACAAAAATCGGCCAATTTGACCGATTATTATAATACAGTACCAATTAAGTACATCGGTAATTAAATACAGTAGAATCCCGCAAACTCGGCACTCGATAACCCGGCAGTCTGGATAACTTTGCCATCATCTGGCTCAGAAAATTAGTGATTTTTTGAGTCTCAGTTAAACATGGACTCAAGCCAGCTCAAGTCAAATCATTCGCATCTCATACCAAGGGTTTGTTGTACTATATCTGATGACTTAATACTGACTTGTAATATAAATATAAATAAAAAAGGCGGTTAAAAAGCTTAAAAATGTTATTGTTCTTATTTTTAACCCTAGTTTCTGATAACCCGGCATTTCAAAAACTCGGCACCCTTCCAGTCCACATTACGCCGAGTTGAAATTCAAATAATGAAAAAAGTTTATATATTTCGCCTGGTCCCTATCATTTAATCATTCAATATACACAATCAATGCCAAATAACCGTGGTTAGTTCTAATTTTTTTTTTTATTATTCAAAGTTTCTACACAATAAGACAATCCAAAGTCAAACCGGGCAATGAATACCCGAAAAACAACGTTGTATCTTGTCCTGTGATTGGAATACCACTCACCATCACCAGTCCTTTAGATTTAGGGAAGTAGTGCAAGTCTATATATAGCTTCAAGGTCGCACCCACCCCTTCCTCCCTCCCGTCCTACTCGACTCACTGTTGCTACCCGCGCTCCTTTCGAAGTCATTGCTCAACCCCTCTCACCCATCTACCAGTTTCAAGTAAAAAAAATGCTTTATAGATCTATGAGGCATAGCTTGAAGTAGGCCTATAATTGAAAGCTACTTTCCACAATGGTTAAAAGTAGTTAAAATACTATACCTCAACCTCACCATTAAACATTCAGGTTGAAATTTTCACTATCAAAGGTGCTCTTGTCCTGTCCATACGGAACACTGAGAAATATGCGCTACCAACAGACATACACACAAAAATACAGAATTTAATTAAGGAATTTGCTACGCTTTAACTAAAGCAAAGTACATTAAATATACTTTAATGTCACTAAACTTTATCATAACAATTTATATTTGCTTAATTAATAACAACCATTAACCAACAGATAAAACCAAAACTATTTTTACATTGTGTTGTTAAAATGAAAACACATAAAAACAGTATTGTTATGATAAATTTGTTAGATAAACAAATACAGTAGGCCTACCATACAGTCAGTACGCCATTAGCAACAGATTTTAACAAAACACTTGACAGGCCATAAGGTAACTTAGCCTATATGTCAACGTACACACTTGACACCAACACTTCACTTGACACAGCACTTCCTCACTCGAGTTTATAGCTTTAAAATTAAGATGATCCGCCTCACCGCTGTCTATCTAACGCTCACCACCAGCCTTTTTCCACTGGCTTAGTTAAGAGATCAATGAAGACCTGTGGGCTCAACTTCTTTATTTCTGATTCTGACTCTGAGTCTGAGTCCTGCTCTGCAGATGACGAACTCCCGTCTAAAGATATAAAATTTGGAAAAAAACAACTTATTTGATAAAAAAATAAAAAATAATAAGTCTATTTTTTAATGAATAAAATATTCCTTTGCTCTTTGTCTCAAGTAAACAACAAAATTGTTGCTCGTAAAATGTAAACCAAAAAAAGAAGAAGAAGGTAGCTCTTAATGTTATTCTTATGGCACAAAATTAAATTGATTTTTTTTAGAACTTTATAATTATTACAAAACAAATACTCTTTAACAACTAATATTCGCAAGATATTATGCTATAAAATCTTTGTGCAAAACATCAAGTTTATATACATAGTCGTTCTCAAGCATTTCGGGTTACAAAGAGATGCATTTTGTACCAATATGAGAATTCACTTTGTTCATTCAATTAAAATTGCCTAAGAAGAAGCCCAGATTTCATCCGATTTAAATTAACTTAATCTTATCAAGAATATCCAATTGATATTTAATTGATTCAAGTAAACCTCAAAAGGACTCAATTTCATCGTTACTTTCCAAATTTAAGTAAGTATAAACCTTTTATTTTAAACTCACTTATTAGTAAATGCTGTGCACATTTGGACTTAACTTTTGGACAAGGACAACATCAAAAATTTGATTTTGATTGTTGGAATGGTGTAAGTTAAACACTTTAATTATTTGGACATTATTTAATTCATCCAATCTTTGCATTCAAGCCAGCACGACACCCTACGCTGAGATAGAGCCCATTTAAATTAGACTATTGTAAATTTGAACCTAATAGGCGTAAATTTCAAATCAATCTTTCACTTTATTGTAGGCCCACATTTCAGTGTCAGTCCTATTCATTGTAGCCTTTTTAATTTTGTTACCTGTTAATTATGTTTCAATAAAATACCTTTACCTAACCCGCCATGTTAAACTTCCCTATACAAAGCGTGATGTATACACCTTCCTTACTTCTCGAGTGATGTAAAGTATCAAAAACTCACTCGGTGATGTAATGAAACCCATTTAAATAACATTGAGAGATTAACTTAAAAAATATACCTCTATGGAGCCAACGACACTCAACGCTAGAAATCAGCTGTGCTCTTGAATTTTATTGTTATGTTTTGAAGAATTTTCCTAACCTAGCTTTTGTTTGTAAATGAACGTTACTGTTGGAATATGAGTGAAATGGATAATGATTAATATTGTTCTTAACCTCCTGTATATTGTCGGGTCAGGTAAAATCTTGTACGTTACACGTTACGCAAGAGCGTGTTTACATCACTTAGGTAAATTATGTAACTCGCTTCCGCTCGTTGCACAACCTTCACCTGCGTGATGTAAAAACGCTCTTACTACACTTGTAAGGTAAATAGCTATTTGTTAATTGTATATTGTTCTGTTACCAAGCATAGAATAGGCCTAGCCTAGAAGGAATATTGTGTGGAGAAATTACACAAATTATATTCCATAAACAACAAACTACAACAGTATTATTTCTCTCAATAAGAATAAAATGTGAATTTAAAATGTACAGAGTTTGGAATTTTCTCCATAACCTTTAATCCTACAACAACACTTCAACATACTAAATTATTTGTTTTTTTAAGCTCTCCACGAACATTTTAATGTTAATTGTTGAAAAGGTAAAATCTTGAAAAACAAATTTTGATAACCAAACCTCATAACACCCTGTTTCCCATGAATCTAGTCCTACAGGTTGGTGCTAAATTTCATCAAAATAAAATCTATTAATTCCTCAATTTATTGGGCTTATGGACATAATATAAAAATTTAAAAAAATAGTGCTGGGGAAATTAAGATGGAAAATCTGTCCTGTGTCTTCTAGGTCTTGCTGTGCCAACTTCGGTAATAGCATCTTCCCTATGGAAAATTTGCTAAAAAGGTCTGTTTTAACTTTAGGCCTACCATTGACTGTTATTCTAAAGTTCTAGCCATTGTCAAAGGTATATATTCATTTCAAAAGCTAGACTGACCACTTATTCACCTGATTATTCTTAATCAACCACAACAGGATAAAACTGGCCTGAACAGTTGTCTGGCATGAACTGCTTCTTTTATGACTAACTAGCTGGCCCGACAGACATCGTCCTGTCCTTATGTGGTTTTATGTCAAATGCTCGTTCATTTTCAAGATGAGCTCGTTCGCATGGCTTAATCACGCCCTGGTTGAAGTTTGTTCGCTACGCTCACTCACCTTTAGGTTGGAACTCGTTCGCTGTGCTCACTTGCCTTCAGGTGACCTCGTTCGCTACGCTTACTCGCATCCAGGTTGAAGTTCGTTCGCTACGCTCACTCACCTTTTGGTTGCAAATTAGCTGTTGTCATAAATTTAAAAATAATGCTATTGAACATCACAGAATCAAATTATTTCGTTGAACCAGCTGTTAAGATTCTTTAATTCTTTAAATATGAGTACTCATAAGGTTAACATGGGAAACTCCAGAGCCACTGGGGCGGAGCCCTTTTGACCGATCTGCACCAAACTTCACACAAACCATCCTTGAACAGTGCTTAATAATGCCTGAAAGTTTTATTACAATCTGTCGAGCGGTTTCGGAGTCCATAAAGGACAAACAAACAAACAAACATACATTGGATTTTATATATACTAGCTGTTACCCGCGGGCTTTGCCCCGTTTAACTTCTTAATTTTCAAGATGATCTCGTTCGCATGGCTCAATCACGTCCTGGTTGAAGTTCGTTCACTACGCTCACTCACCTTCAGCGGTTCAGCGGTGTCTGAGTTTATCACTGCCAAATATATATATATATATATATATATATATATATACAAACATCCTCTTTTATACTTATAGATAGATTACTTTGAATGGTAATTTACAAGTATTTTCAAGCAAAAGCATATGTTGAGGCTCACCAAATACAATAATATATATTTAAAAATCTACCGCTTCTTAGAATTAAGAAATTTAATTTAATTTCCAAAAAGAAAAATTACTTGAAATATAAATAATTTGGTATCAATACCAAAGATTTGTTCAACTATTTAAAAGTATATTTTATGTAAGCTGTTAAGTTAAAAATGCTATGATTTTTTTTTTTTCAGAATGATAATTCCCTCAAGTCAAAGAAAAGTTTACCACTTCATTCGCCAGACAATGCAGCATTGGCCTCTGGACTCCTCCTTTAAGCAAATACTAGAGATATGGCTGAGTTACATCCAGCCTTGGCGATACATGGACGTCCGCACCATGTGAGTGACAGTGCAAACAATCAATACATACAGGTTGGCTGAAAAGTAACTTGCACCCCCCTTAACTTTTCAACCATTTGAGATATTTGAAATCTGTTTGCGGCAACCTTCTTAGGTATGAGAGGCTAAAATAATTATGGCCAATTTTGAAAATTTTGCCCTTAGGGATAAGTCTTAACGAAACATAAAAATTGACATAAAGAAAACCAAAATCGGCCCGCTAATAGCAAAATGGCGCCCTAAAACGTTTCAAATCCAAATAACCATGAGGCTGGCTGAAAATTAACTTGCACCCCCTTTACCTTTTTAACTAGCCTATTTGAGATATTTGAAATTGGGGTAGGGGGTAGCTCGAAATTATCAAATAGCAAGTATAGTCGAGTTTGGTATAATTTTGCAGGTCTTGACAAAACATAGCAATTAACTGGAGGTGTGCGGATAGTAAAATTTCATTTCGGATCGGATAATTGAGGCTCGGTTCGGATCGGATCGGATATTGGGAGGTTCGGATTCGGATATTTTCGGATTCGGATAGTTCGGCGTGGTTAATAATAAGCTGCATATGTATTTTTAACCTATAAAACAATATAAAGCTGTGTAAATAAACATAAATGACGATTTTGAACTATAGAATTTCAAATTAGCCAAGTCCACAGTTTTCTCTTTCTTGAAAATCACAATTCACAACATTTATTTTCAAAAGTTGGTTGCTTGAATTAAGTACACTAGCAGCCGAAATCTTCACACAACACCTTAGCTCAGCAGGACTGATGTCAAACGTTTGGGCTTGTTTACTTGAGGTTATGTTTTATCTTGTTTCCTGGTTCTCACAAGCCAAGGAGTTCGATCTCAAGTTTATTTTCACATTGTATTTCCTTACGTTTTTGGAACGGATTATTGGCCTTAAGTGGCATTTTGCCAAGTTTAGAAAACATCACTAATGCACTAAGATGGGCTCTAGCTCACGATTTGATGTTGGGCAATTAAATTAGACTTTATAACTGTGTATCCCTGAATTTATAAATTGCATTCTACACTTATTCACTGCCAAACATAATTCAGTAGAACCTTGATGAACCGAGAATTACACTAGCCTACATAACTTCATTACCCCAAGTAAAATACCAAGATAATTTTTATAATTGTATTTGAATCATATAATCTTAGTTTGTTAAAAATGGATTGTATGTTCAACAATAATTGCAGTCCATTATTGTTAAGCAGTATGGTCCCAAATTATTGTTTTTGATTTTGAAACATCACAGTTCATTTGACAAAATTATAGTTGAAGCAGCCCAATGTCAAGTGACACTTGTGCAATAGTTTGTTTACAAGCTTTCTCCAGACCACGGGGGAGGGGAGGGTCTGATAAGCCGTCTATTGTTCACCCCCAAGAAGGTCGGACCCTCATTAGTGCCGCTCGGTTGCACTCAGTGGGGAACCCAATACCACAAATCAATCTTTTAAATGAATACAAATAATTGGTAATAATTGTTTTATTAATATTCACCTTGAAATTTCAATAAATTTGGTGTAAAATTTGACAAAAATCGGCCATTTTGACCGATTATTAATACAGTACCAGATACCAATAAAGTAGTACATTCATTGGTAATTAAATAATAGGTAAAAATTAACTGATTTTCATCAAGTTTTACCCCCCTGCTGTGCGCTATGTCACAAAAGCTGATAATGACATGGGTGATTAGTAACCATGGCAACTTGTTGAATGCGTGATGAAGGGAAACCCAAGAATTAGAAGAAAAAAGATAAAGAATAACGACGTTGTTATCTTTATACCCTTTTTACAATTTCCGTTATTGTTATCTTTATGTAAGACTAGCTGTTGTACCCGTGCTTTGCAACGGGAAGAGGACACAAAATAGAAACATTTTAATCTTTACATCTGTTGCATATAATAGTTAAACATCCGCCAACGCTTTTAGAAACAAAATTCAACTTTTATGGCCTTAATAGAAACGTTTAAGTTATGACTTTTAAATCTGGTAAGTAGTGGATACCACCATTTTGGTTTTGATTAATTTTAAATCTTGTGTAGGCTGATGTGAGAAAAACTGACCAAATCTTCGAATAGAACTTTCACATACTATTTACCTTCATCTCCCTTAATTACATATCTTTTTATTTATAATTTACATTTTAAATTTCAATTTAGAAATTGCAAAAATACTAATTATTAAATTTAAATGGATTTTTTTTATTTCACTCTTCTTCATATTAAATAACAAATCCTTCCATCCTCAGTTTCTTCACTCACTATAAATCATTAGCAAAACTAAGTCAGCTGTTATAAACTTTAGAAGTATTGTTGAGCCTTATCAATACAGTCTTTTGAAATATTAAAGAAACTATATCTAAGTTATACTATAAAAAAATTTAAACAAATAATTTAGCATTAAAGACAGCAGACAAAACTAATATGATTATCATAGCGTCGAGGACTAAAAAATATGATAGCAAAAACAGTACATTAGGCCTATATTTTTCATTGCATCTCTGATTCTACTCTACATAAATATCAACAAACAACTTAATATACAAACCAGTTCTTTTAATCAGTTCCATCGTCCATTGCCTTTAAATTTTCACACTTACCATTAAGTAAACATAGTAACAGATATTTCATTGATTTAGAAACAAAAGAACACTGTGTACTGCTTAGTTTTATGATATTTTTCTTGGTTTAATTTAATCAGTGGTGTGGCAAAACACAAATAAAAAATTTATCAAATAAAGTAAATGTGAACTGAAAGCTATGTTATGATAAAATAAGCGTATTTTGTATTACCATTTGATAATTAAATATAGTTACACATATAGGCCTACGACAGATTTTAGAACACAAAAATCAATGACGTACAATTTAGTTATTGATGATATTCTTTGTTAAGTTAATCTAACACATGTTAAGCAGTTCGAATTTATTTAAAGTAGCCTCCAAATTCATACAAAACATCTATACTTTGTAATTTTTATACTGTTTCCATGAAAACATATCAATAACATTATTTTCATAACTGAGACGCTTTAAAAAATCCAAAGCAGAGCCAGAGTTTTTACAGCAACAGTTTATAGAACCTTTTTTTTCTATAATCATTGGCAGTTTTAGAATAAATAATCCATGATAAAACGCTACATTAAAATAAACCTACCTCATAGGTAGTTATGGAAAATATTATATTTAACTTTTTTGTATCAGCTGTCTGAAATTGTGAAATATTCAATTTAGCAGTGTTCTTCTTGTTTACATTGAAATGTCAAAGCAAATGTAAACAAACATTATTAGTGTTCTAATTGCATCCATGGAGACCAATCAATATTTACTTTTAAAATGTTCACCTCAGAACTTTTAAAGCCAAAGGGGCAAAGCCTATGGTCAGTATCGAAATGTGAATAGTCCTATAATGGTCCTTGGTATATTAGCTATATTTTTGTAAAATTTAAGCCCAGTTGGTTCATTAGTTTTTGCACCTATTAGTAACACACATACAGACAGACACCATTAGATTTTTATATAATAGTATAGATATAGATATAGATTTTATGATTTTGTTTTATAGGTTTATAAAATAATTCTTTTTAACTACGGGAATATCAATTTATAATTTATCAACGTGCTTCGCTTCTGAAACAGCAATACCGGATGCATAATAAAGGTCAATGACCTAAAATATCACGATTGTGCAATGTTGTATTTTGATGTTGAAATTAAAATCACGACAAAAGTTTGTATATATCCATGGTCCCTTTAGTTTAATCATTTAATATGTACACAATCAATGCTAAATAATCGTGGTAACTTTATTTTTTATTATTCAAAGTTTCTACACAGTAAAACAATCAAAAGTCAAACCGGGCAATGAATACCCAAAAAACAACGTATCTTGTCCTGTGAATGGAATACCACTCGCCGGCCAGTCCTTTAGGTTTAGGGAAGTAGTGCAAGTCTATATATAGCTTCAAGGTCTTACCCACCCCTTCCCCCTCCGGTCCTACTTGACTCGACCCGCGCTCCTTTCGAGGTCATTGCCCAACCCCTCCCACCCTTCTATTGTGTTGCCTTTCTATTGTTTCTATTCTGACTTTTTTTCGGGAAACGAGTTGACTTTCATTTTACCATGGTAGTTCTTTTCTGCTTTATGTCTGTTCGTTCCAGACGAATCTAATTGTAAAGCAAAACAGCCGATAACGACTAAACTAGTTATCAGTATTGCATCATACGGCTTCTTTGCCGTTTGCTGTTAGGTCGTTGGAAACGTATTGCTGTAATTTTGTCCTGGGAAACTAATGGTGGCTATGGAGATTTAGTTTTCTGTCCAAAACGTCAAAATATATTGTCTATCCGAAAAAGTCGGATATATAACGGATAGTGTCGGATATCGAATTTGGGCCCGGTTCGGATACGGATATCCGAACCGAACCGAATCCGACCCGATTTTTCGGATATCCGCACACCTCTACAATTAACTTAAAGAAAATAGAAATCGCACCATTAATAACAAAATAATTATTAATAATTATAATCACACTCCGCACTGCTAGCCTTTACTTCTTCTTTCACCATTTTCTATGTCGTGGACATGTTTCCATCCCTTCTCATAGCATTTCAGCATTGCAGGTACATTAATCTATCTGCTACAAACGGTTTCCAGTTCCCACACTCCACACTGCTCACCTTACTACTTCCTTCACCTCTTCTTACGTCGCGGACCTGTTTCCCTCTCTTCCCATAGAATTTTAAGATTGTCGATACCTTAATCTAATTGTCATAAACAGTTCCCACACTCCGGACAGCTCGCCTTGACTACTTTCTTCACCACTTCCTACGTCTCGGACCTGTTTCCCTCCCTTCCCTTAGAATTATTGGATTGCAAATACCTTAACCTATTGGTCATAAACAGATCCCACACTCCGAACAACTCGCCTTTACTACTTCCTTCACCACTTCCTACGTCACGGACCTGTTTCCCTCCCTTTCC